GACATCTTCCAGCCCAGTGCCTTTTGTTGGTTGTGGCGGAACAGCCGCTGGATCTCCTGCTGCAGGCTTCGGTTTTGCTGGGGTGGCCTGGCTTGCGGTTTCAATATCCTCCGGAGCAACTTTGCCTGGAACCTCGGCAGGCTTAGGGATTGGCGTTCTTGGCAAGCCTGCTTCCTCATGCACCGGTTCATTATTATTTGTTTCATGCGCGGCTGATTTCTCTTCGGGCAACCCGCTCTCTCCGTGCAAGGTTCTATTCTTTGTTTTTTCGTCCGCGGGTGGTTTCTCTTTTGGCACCAGGGTTTCATTGCTTGTTTTGTCTGGGAACGCTTTCTCTTTTGGTAGCCCGCTCTCCTCATGCGGGGTTTCTTTCTTGCTTTCATCAACGGATGATCCTGCATTGGCGGGGTTGCCGCTTGCAAGTGGTCCATGGACACGCGCTATTTCTTTTGCCTTCAACATTTCCGCTTGCTTGCGCAACCCCTTTGCAAAAGCTGCGGCTGCACTCAAGCTTCGCCCTGATGGCGCAGCCGCTGCTTGCGCGGCTTCCGCTAGCTCTTGCAACGCAATGTGTGCATCAGGGCTGATGACCCCGATGCGGACTCCAAGGACATCGAGATTATGCACCTTGTGGGCGACCATACTTCCTGCAGGAAGGTAAAGCGGGTCCGATTGCAAGGGAACATCTTTGTCCTCAAACAGGAGGAACGAAGTGGGGGCTTCAATCTGGTCATCCAAGCCTGCAGCTTGAGCGGATCTTTTAAGACCTGGCGGTGCTTCCGCTTCCACACCACTAGCGCTGGGCTGCCCACTACCTGCAGACACAAGGGCCATGGCACCGTTCAAAGCCCCACTTCTACCAAGTGGGAAAGTTGAAGTTGAAAGTTGAAGTGGGAAAGTAGACCTGGTGTCAACCACTGCCAGGAAACACAAAGAAAGGTTTCTTAGAACAAATGGTAGTTGGAGGGCCTCACTTGCCGGAGAAAAACATTGAAAATGCTAAAAAAACATTGAAAACACTAAAAACACGTAAAATCATCCAAAAAACATGGAAAACACTAAAAACACCTAAAATCATCAAAAAAACATTGAAAACATTAAAAAAAACTAAAATCATCAAAAAAACATTGAAAACGCTAAAATTTGTGCTGATACCACTAAAAATGTTGGTTCTGAGCCTGGTTTGTGTTCCTCTATGGGCTTTTCTGCAGAATCTGTGATGTTTGAGCCTTGAAATCTGTCACTGGAGCAAAAAGGTTTTGAACCACGCCGGAACACAGATCGACCACTGGCCGACCACCACCCGACCAACCCCGACCACCGCCCGACCAACCCCGACCAACCCCCGACCACCGCCCGACCAACCCCCAACCAATGCCCGACCACCGCCCGACCAACCCCGACCAACCCCCAACCACCGCCCGACCAATCCTTCGCAACCCTGGAATTCCAACCTCTCGTTGGCACTTTTTTTCCTCCCGACAGCGTCAAATGCCCTAAGTTTCACGGCGCGGGGCTTCCCGCCACTTTGTGTTTGCGATGGTTTCTTCTTTTTTTCTTCTTCTCACCCTGGGCAATCTCAAGCGGAGCCTCCCGCGCGCTAAAATCCAGAACCTGCTCTTCTGCTGCTGCCGCTGAGTTCTCTTCTTGCTTTCTTTTCTTATCATTCTCTTCATCAGGCGGGGCTACCCGCTCAACTTCCTCAGCGTCTACAGCTTTCTCTTCATCACCTGTCTTCAAAGCTTGGAGAGGTAAGCCTTCTGCTTCTTGTTCCGCTTCTACTTGTGGAGCGGGGGCATCCGCTTGTTCTTCTCCCTCAGGCTTGGCAGGCGGCGTTGCCATGGTTGCATCTCCTTCTGTTGTTTCCTCCTTGGCTGGCCCGACGACTGGCTCTGCCAAGGTGGACAGGTCCTCTACTTTCTCAACCTTGACTGGCAGTTGTGCGGAAAGTCCCGCTGCAGGTTCCCCATCAGGGCTATAGTCAGGTTGATCCAAGCCGTCTGCCCTGCTTTCAGGCACCTGGTCTTTTTCCAAATGTTCCTTTTTTCCTTCCTCTGCATTTGCGGCAGCCTCTTCTTTTGCATCCTTCTCACTCACTGCAGGCTCTGCCAATGCCGGCTTGGCAGGTTCTTCTTTTGCATCCTTCTCAGGTGGATCAGGTTCTGCCAACGCCGGCTCTGGTTTGGCAGCTTCTTCTTTTGCATCCTTCTCACTCTCTGCAGGTTCTGCCAGCGCAGTTGCGGTTTCTGCTTCCTCCCAGCCTGTCTGGCGGCGATGATAACCGCGCTGGGCCCGCCGCTCTCTGGCCGCCTGGCTTCTTCTCTCGTATCGCGTGCCTGCCTGACCACTTTTGTGCAAATTGGACCAGCCAGAGAAAGAGGGCCTGTATTTCCATGCCCAGCCTTTGGGCCACTCCTCATCCTCCCATACATCTTCTTCCTTCCAATACCAGCCCCACCCCGAGGGCCCCCAACCTTGCTTGACCCTGCTTCGGCTTCTGGACTTGCTTTTGCCAGAGCGCTCATGGCTCTGCTCCCGAGAAGTTGTGCCTTTGGGAGAATGCCGCTCAGGACTCTGCTCGGGGGGCTCGTGCGAGGCTTTGTTTGCGCGGGGGTGCCGCTCATGACCCTCCTCTTGCAAGTCTTTGTTTGTGCGGGGGTGCCGCTCATGGCTATGGTCATGTGAATCTTTGCCTCCAGGGGTCGTTCTTGCTCAGCCCGTTGCTCAACCCAGCTGGGACAGGGGAAACCTAACTTGGAAATAATCTTTTGCAATGGCTGAACTTGTCGGCTTGGCCAAAAAGGATTCACCCACCCTGCATTTACCATAATAGTTGACCAGCCCCCCCGAAGCATTAGCTCGAGAAGCGGGGTAGGCACAAGGAAACCACAGGGTTCCTTGCAAAAGGCATTAAATTCTTCTACAGATACTTCAAGAGTGTCCAGAAACTCTCTGCGGCTCACTCCGCTGCGCGTGATCATCTCAGTAACATCCAAAGAGCCAGGAGCCCAGGTTCCTGTGTGTTGGCGCACATTGCTTCTGGCGTTTAAACGGGCTTCTGCTTTGAAAAATAATCTTCGCGTAACCTGCAGGCTGAACAACCTGAAATGGGATGGCCCCTCTGCGTTAAAATAATGGTTTGCGAAACACCGCTCCTCCTCGGTCCAAGCGGTGAGAGGTCCGCTGCTTGCCTGGCCTGATCCGACCTTGACTATGCCCCAGCAATCCACAGTTCCAGCATGCACTGGCTTTGGGGCCGTCAAATCTACCTTTTCCAGGCCACATTCCCGCAACCTATCTTGGACAAGCGAGGGTAAAACTACATGCCTCGCATTTTGGCCACGAGATCTTTGATGGCCATGGCCTGGTGCCAGAATGGCTAGAGCCATAAAAGCTGTTCACGAAACATGTTTCATTGGTTTTCGACATTAAAATCTAGACTTTGTGGGAAGTTCATCATAGCTCACCCCAAAACCTTGTCCACGCCATGCAGAACTGGCAACAACAAAGCTGACTTGACTAGATCTAACCTGTTCCTGTTAAAATCATTCAATTGTCTAAAACTGGTTGGAAACAAGGCGGGGGCGAAATCTACTAGCACGAGCATCAACACCGGCTTCACAGGAGCCTGATCACTCCTCGGCTTCGACCTGGAACAGCCTCAAGGGCCCCGTGAAGGGCGTGAAGTACAGAGGAGGACAGCCTCCACCCGCTCCTGTTTGGCACTACGAGAAGGGTGACTTGGCTGCCTATAAGAAATGGAAGAGACGAGTTGAAATGTGGCTCGTACAAGTTGTCAACTATGTCCCAAAGAAGGAGGCAGGCATCTTGCTGTTCAACTCCCTTCGCGGGGAGTTGGAAGCGGAGCTGGAAGACGCACCGATCGACAAGATCTACGACGCCGACGGCGTGACCTACATCCTCAGCGTCATCCAGCGGGCAGTGGAGACCCGTTCGGTCCACCTCAAGCGACAGCTGTTGAACAACTATGAACACATCACACGCTCTCCTCAAGAGAGCATGAGAAGCTTCCTGAACAGGTACCAGCGCTCCGAGCGCGCACTCACCACCGTGGGCATCCGCGTCCATGATATGTATGATGGAGAAGCTCGTGGAGCAAGAGTCTTGGAAAGATGCAAGCTGTCCAGTGAACATCAACGTCAAGTCCTCATCGGCACTGGACAATCTTTGGACTTCGAGGCCGTGAAGGACGTGTTGCTGTTCCAGTGGCCCGACCATAAAGGACTCCCACCTCAGCTCGGACAGCCCCCAAGGAAAAGGACAGCACCGACCTTTTCATGGAGGTGATCGCAACCCCAAGGGGAAAGGCAAGAGCAAGTCCAACCTGCCGCCACGGCAGACCTATGTGACTGAGTTCAATGAGCCCGAGACCATCCACGAGGAGCCGGACCCGGACACCACCGAGGTGAATGATGATGATGGAGAAGAAGATGATCAGCCCGACAATGAGGCTGACGAAGAGGCTGACGATGGCGGCTCCTGGGATGACGACCCAGAGGTCGCGGAGATCCTGACGATCACTGCTCGCAAGCTGGCCGGAGTCACGCAGGCTCGCAAGTATGGCTCAGGCACCAATCCCATGCCCAAGAAGACCATCGCAGAGAGGAAGCGGAACACGCGCTGTTCTGCATGCGGCCAACAAGGCCACTGGGCTGGAGATGCTGAATGTTCAGCCAGCGGCAAAGGAAGCAACAAGTCCACCACCTACAGAGATGGCGGCAAGAACACCGGCGGCGGCAAGGGTGAGAAGGGCAAAGCAAAATTTGTGCATTTCCTCAACCACTATGGTGGCCATGAGGATGATGAAGCAGAGCCTCAACATGTTGCTCATGCTGTGTTGGTCTCACAGTTGACCAACTTTGAAGTGTGCCTCACCGATGCCACAAAAGCAGCCGGGTTCATCATTTTGGATACTGCATGTCAAAGGCTTTGTGCAGGGCATTCATGGGCTGAAGCTCAGAAGGGAAAACTCAATACCTGGTCCATCTACCCCCTGGAGTATGCCACCACAGAGTTTTTCGAGTTTGGTAGAGGGGAACCCATCAAGTCCAACTATGCCCTGTACTTTCCAGTTTGTTTCGGCAACCACCTTTGCATCATGGCACCATGCATATTGCAAGCACACATTCCATGCCTTGCCAGCCGTACTTGTTTGCAAGATGTTGGAGCTGTTTTGGATTTGTCACGACAAGTCGCACGGCTTGAGTTGTTTGATGTCACACTCCCCCTCACCATGGTGAACGGCCACCTGGGTTTGGATGTTTCAGTTTTTCAGGAGCAGCAGCGTTGTTTTTCTTGCTGGCACCACCACCATGAAGAGATCAAGCAAGCGTGTCACGACGGCCAAGTTCGTGAGTTCCTTTCATACCCGCTTCTTTTTGCACCTCAAGCTCAGCCGCACCTCGAGGATCGTGCATCCACCGCGGCACATGGAAGTGAGCAAGCCACCTCCGCCATTTTGGCTGTGGCGATGGAAGCACCTTGCTCAAAGACTTCTCCAATGGGCTCGGCAAGCCCAGAGATTCCTGAGAAGGGAACCAGCGCAGGCAGCAGTCGCTTCATCATCGACGGCTCTGATGGCATCTACACCGAAGAACAAGGCCAAAGCAAATGCCAAGAAGAAGACCCAGCCGAAGGCCTACATGTCGATCAGCGACTGCCCTCACGAGCACATCAAGCGCTCAGGGAACAAGCACGGGAGTTACGCCCAGCGCATGGCCTGCGTGATCAAGTGGAAGTGGAACCAAGAAGCCCAAGGATGGGTGCACTTCGAAAAAGCATCCACCTCCTCACACTTGCCACTACCTTCATTGGACACTGTCTTGGACAGTTCATGGAGCCAACAAGCATCGGCCTATCCGGCCAGCAGCGAACAACTGCCGCTCCCACCTCGTGGCAAGACTACGGCACCGACAACAACCTCTCAGGCGGCAAAGACATCTGGCCCGATCTCAAGGGGCAAGGGCAAGGGCAAGAATTCCGGCACGGTCGTGCAGGACTATCATCAACGCCACGGACCTCCTCATGGGCACATCCCACTGACTCCCACGGCGGCACCTCAGCAAAGCACCGACCTGGAGGAGGACCTCGAACGATGGCTGAACCGATACGAGGAGTTCGAGGAGGGAGCCATGGATCCACGACTTCCGGAAGGCTGGAACCCGGCCTGGGAGCAGCACTTCCACGATCCACTGGAGGAGGAGATCGAAGACTACGACTGGGAAGGGCTCGAAGCTTGATCAACCAGATCACCAAGGCCTCCAACGTTCTTGGAATCGAGGCCGGCATCTATGAAGCACTTCCCACAGCTCTTGACAGCAACCGCTCCAAAGTGGACATCATGGAGCTCTACGCTGGCCACGCCGACATCACCTTCCTCGCTCACCAGTGTGACTTGCGCGCCATGGAGCCCTTTGACCTGCTCTACGGCAAGGACATGTCCAAGCGCAAAGACAAGATGTCATGGCGGAAAGCCCAGCAGGACTATAAACCACTTCTGGTAGTGGTTGAGACCGAATGCACTGACTGGATCATCTTCAATGAGAACCTCAACTACAAGGGAAAAGATCGCATGGAGGAGCTCTATGACAGAAGGAAGCTCCAGTACCCCTTGGTTGAGGAGGGCGTTCAAGCCTGTTACCAACAGATCGCTGATGGCAACTACTTCCTCTTCGAGAACCCAGCACCTTCAAGAATCTGGGATTTGCCACGGCTCCAAGAACTTGCAGCTCGGCATGATGTCTATGTGGTTCAATGCCATGCTGGAGCCTATGGAGGATGCAACAGCCACGGCGACCCCATCCGTAAGCTCTACCAGTGGCTGACCAATTCAGCTGAATTGGCCACAGCCCTCTCAAGGAAGCTCAGCCAAGAAGAACTTCAGTACTGCGTGCCACTCCTCGGCAAGGAGGTCAGACTCAGTGCACGCTACCCTGAGAAGATGCGCAGAGCTATCCTTCGAGCTCTACGAGTTGAAGCCCGTCGACGATGGCCCCAACGCTTTGTTAAGACCAATGAGGTCTTCTATGAGGAGCCCATGCAAGATCCAGCTGCATGGATGGATGTCATCAGAAAAGTCCAAAAGATCTTCGAGGGCACCACTACGAAAGCCTTCAACCTCGCAGACAACGATCCACTGCACCGGGAGATCTGTCAGCTCGTCCCCTGGGAGATGGTCAGAATCCAGTTGGCCAGAGCACCGGCCCAGAGAAGACTTCCCAGAGACATCCTCTTCACGCACCGAGGAGCCATCATCGAGTACCAAGACGGACAGCTCAGTGTGGAAGCAGAGGCACTAGATGGAATGCACTTCCCCAAGCAGAGGTTTGCCAAGGCGGTAGCTCATGCTGTCTTTTGGTATGGCTTTGGAGAACCAAAGACAGAGCCACCACCTGAAGAACAACCAGGTCCTTCGACCGCAGCCTCAGCCTCAGCATCCACACCAGATCAACTACAGCCATCACCGCCACCGAGCTCGCCCATTTCAGTGGTGACCTTTCCAACGTGTCCCAGCGATGTACCAGCAGAGGTCAAGTCAGCAGTCAGAAGACTACACCTCAACCTGGGCCACCCCACTGAACGAGAGCTCATGCGCCTCCTGGCGTACCAAAAACCATTTCGAACCACATGCTCACAGCGATTAAGCACATGATCTGCGCCAGCTGCACCAGGACCAAGCCGGCACGGCATCCCAGACCTTCAACGGTCCCAACGGCCAACATGGGCCAATTCAACGACAGCATACAAACCGATGTCTTCTACTGCCGGGATGTAGCAGGCACAAATTATGCAGTCATTGGCATCATCGACCAATCGACACTGCTACACCAAGCTGCACGGCTACCTGACATGTCCTCAAACACCACGCTGGAGATCATGAGAAACCTTTGGTTCAAGCCCTACGGCTTTCCCAGCGTGATCCGTGCAGATCCTGGAACCAACTATGGTCTCAACTTCCGCAGCTATGTTGAGCGACATGGCATTTGGCTGGATATCATCCCAGCCGAAGCTCACTGGCGCATCGGCTTGATCGAAAGAAGAAACAGTGTGCTCCGTGACATTTTGGAGCGCATCATCGACTCCGAGTCCATCTTCAATGAGGCCGACTTTGACCAGGCCATCGATGCAGCAGTCCACGCTCTGAACTCAATGACCTACTCACATGGTCGTCCAGCTTACATGGCAGTTTTTGGCCAAATCCCAAGGATTGGAGCCGGGCTACTTCAAGACGATACCGCCCTCATCTGCCATCCAGAGCAACGTGGAGCCATCAGGCCAGACATACTTCGAGCAGAAGCAGTCAAGGCATTGGCCGACATCAACACAAGCCAAGCCCTGAGGCGTGCACTCCTCAGGAAGACGGCCACCACACACCAGATGGACCTTCAGCCTGGACAGAACTGTGCCTACTGGCGTTGGCAAGTCCCCAAAGGCAGATCCACGAAGAAGAAAGGAGCTTGGATAGTTGCCCGCTTCTTGTCCTACGACCCCGACGGCAAGTCAGCATGGGTCCACGCAGGAACAACCACCGTTCACGTCGCCCTGGAACAACTCAGAGGCGCAGTTGGTTTTGAACACTGGCAACCAACACGTGAAGACCAACAAGCATTGAAGGACGCAGCACGCAACATCAAGCAAGACGTCTGGGAGGACCACACCTCCTCAGCACCGCCTTTGGATGAAGACTCCTACGAGTACCACCTCGAGCAGCCAGATGAACACACATCGGCAGCTGCAGAAGCAACAGCAGATACAACAGAACTACCACCAATACAAGAGCTACCACCAACGTTACCTCTTGCACCACCACCGGAACGACCAAGAGCAAGAACAACAGACACGCAGACAACACCACGTTCAAGCAAGAGACCTCACGTACTACAACAACAAACAGAACAACACATCCAGCAGGAGTCAAGGACTACCACAATGAATGTTGGAGGCATCCACATACATTCATACCCAACATCACCAACAGCAGCAGCACAGCCTGTCACACCTCTGGATTACCACCCAGGGAGATTTGGCTTGACGCGAACAGCGCGTTCGCGAACGCCAACAAACCGGCGTATCAAGCAACAAGCAGAGACACCTGGTACACCTTCCAGGACTCTTGGCAATTGGCCGACACCAGTCCCTGAGACACCTCCAGTGGACTTCACGGCCCCAGCAATTGTGGCAACACCTGCAGCCGCACCTACTGCAGGCGACACCACCGTTTCACCAGCACTGTCAGCACCACTTGATCCAGAGGCTGCACCACCTGGATCACAGGCACCGGCAAGCCGAGTGTCCGGCTCGACGACAACACAGTTCTCGAGCTCAGCACTGAGCACGCAAGAACAAGCAATCACCGCAGCAGCAGCAGTCCTACAGGACCAACCACAAGAGGCATCACCTCAGGCAGTACAACAAGAGGCAGCATCAGCCTCAGACAGCATCCCTCAGCTACCACAGAAGAGACACTTTGAAGCCATGCTCGCACACATGCACGGCAATCTGGAGCCACCGCACCACACTTGGGATGGCTCACCAGAGACAAACCATTACGAGAACAACCACTGCACACAGTTCGCGGCAGCAGCTACAGACATCCTGCACCAAGAAGGACACACTGTCCTCTACACAGACCTAACTGGTCCACAGGATGAGTCAGATGCACCAGACTCGTCTGATCCAGATGCGCCCACAGATCCAGCCAACCGCCTCCAGAGCCGGAAAGAAGCCAAACGAGGCTCTCGAGAGGGAGATCCCATGGAGGAGCATCCTCAAGCTCCCAGCAGACCAGATCGAGCAGTACATCAAGTCTGCTCAGAAAGAAGAAACCGGCTGGATGACTTGGGGTTCAGTTGAACCTGTGCCGGATGAAGAGGCTGTCGAGATCCTCAAGAATCCCGCCAAAAGGCGACGGGTGCTCAGAAGCAGAGCCTGCTATCGGAACAAGTCACGAGTTCCGACACAGCTCATCGCAAAGACAAGAGTTGTGGCTCTGGGACACCTTGACCCAGACTTGCACCGGCTCAACCGCGACTCACCGACGCCAATGAGGACGTCAGAGCACCTGCTGCTAGCCATCTACGTGGCTGGAGTCAACCAGGCCATGGAAGGGACAGCCAAGTCCTGGTCGCTTTGGGCATGCGACGTGGCCACGGCCTTCACGCAGGGCACCTTCGAAGATGATGAGAGGGTGGAACCCCTGTATCTCCTTCCACCACGGGATGAGATAACCATCCGAGCTGGCACCTTCAAGGCCAAGCTCTACAAGGTTCTGAAGAACATCTACGGCCTGGCTTCAGCACCAAGAACATGGTTCAGAGAGGTCGTGCGACGTATGACCTCCATCAACTTTGTCCAACACCATCTGGACAAGATGCTCTTCTACAAGCGCCTGAACGGCACTTTGGTGGCTGCCTGCATTGTCTATGTTGATGATTTCCTCATCACCTACCGGCAGGACTACCAGATCCAAGAGCTCTTCGACCTCTTCAAATGGGGCAGCCAGAAAGAGCTCAGCCTGCAACAGGCACTGGAGTTCAAAGGGAAGGAGCTGACGCTCAAAGCAAAGGGGACACAGCCCAATGGCACACCCAGGTACCACCTCCACGTCACTCAGACGAAGTTCATCGACAACACCGATGGAGGCAAGGTGCAAAGGGGAAGAATCGCAGATGGTCCACCTTTGACCATGAGCGAGCAAGCAGAATTTAGGTCAATGACCGGCTCGCTTCAATGGCTAGCCAGCCAGACGCGGCCTGACATCGCCGCATGGGTGAGTTTGAGCAACCATGGGAAAGAAACCTCACCTGCTGACCTGGCCAGTCTCTACGAGACGCTTGAATACTGCCGCCTCACAAAGGACCAAGGATTGGTCTTCCAGGACGCCGATCTCCAAGGGCACGGTCTTTGTCGGCTACGCCGATTCCTCTTGGGGGAACGCCCAGCAGTGTGCCTCGCAGCAAGGGTCGATCATCCTGATCACCACGGCCCAGTGCAAAGAGATGAACACCAAGGCCACAGTCATCGACTGGAAGAGCAACAGATCCAGTCGGGTCTGCAAATCGACATTGGCCAGTGAGGCCACAGCCTGTGACGATTGCGTTGATCGCACTTACTTGCCAGCCTCATTTTGAGTGAGCTGCTCACTGGCGAAAAGGCCTCCAAGGACCTCACGACCTGGCGCTTGCTGCAGCTCCAGGTGACAGATTGCAAGAGCTTGTTCGACGCCATCATGGCGGAGCAC